GGAAAGGGTGGTCAAGTATTGGAACAGGCTGCCCAGGGAAGCCGTTGAGTCCCCATCCCTGGAAGTATTTAAAAGCCGTGCAGATGTGGTGCTTAGGGACATGGTTTAGTGGTGGACTTGGCAGTGTTAGGTTAATGGGCGGACTCAATGATCTTTAAGGTCTTTTCCAACCTAAATAATTCTATGATTCTATATTTAATATTATTTTTCCCCCTTTGATCTTTGTATTGTAGGCTGGAAAAAGACAGTTGGTAAGCTGGGATTTGGACACCACTTGGGTGGATTTTGTCCAGTTTTACATCCAGATAGGAGGAGACAGTTCTTCATGCAATAAACCAGACAGCAGAGAAGAAGGTGTGCTTCTGCAGTACAGCAATAATGGCGGCATCAACTGGCAGCTACTAGCAGAAATGTATTTCTCTGACTTCAGCAAACCCAGGTATAATTTTGGTCTAAATTAAATCCATACTGCATCAGCCCTTTAAAAATCAGCTTTAAAAAACCCTATTTCTCAATTTATGAAAACATGAATAATAATTTCAAGTTTTAATGCTTAAAAGCCATCATTTATGTGGAAGATTTTCCAGGCTGCCACAGTAAACTCCTGTCACTAGGAAGGAAAAATCTAATGAAAGTGGGCCTCAAAAAAACTAAAGTAAAACATAAAGTTTCCAATCATTCACCTCCCCTGTGAAACATGACTAAAATGCTAATATGTGCAAAAGATTAGCAAGCAAATACAGAACTTGCCCAACAGTGGTATAGATATCTGCCATCTCCTCTGACTCTGGTTTCAGGTCTAATAAACATGTATTAATATCACATACAAAAAAACCTCCTTTAAAGAAATGTTTAAGGAGAAGAAATCATGTTCAGCATTTCAAATTTGCTGTAAGATAGCTTGTCAGTGAAAATTTTAATTGCATTTGTCTGCATAGGTATTAACATGATTTCTATTACCTGTAGTTCATGCCTTTCAATATGTAAATAATTTTATCTTCCCATCTTGTCATTTTGAACAGCATTTTCAGAATGACTTCTGTAACTCAGCAAACTGTCCTTTTCTAAAGGTGATACATGCACTTGGAAGTATAAAACCATTGAAGTTTGTTTAGTCTCTGCTTTGTCAAAATTACAAGACACATCCAACAAAAAAAATACATACTGAAACCTTCATCATTGGACCATCCAATATATTATGTTTAGACAAAACATTTGCCCCTCTGGGTAACGAAGAGTGATGGTCCTTATTGAATATAGCTATGGATATTTATTTTTCTGCTGCTTCAAATGCGGTCCAGATCTCATTTTCCAATTCCTTATTTTCCAACACATAAATCTAGGAATCCTCTGGTAAAGAAGGTTCCCTGTAGCCCTGAACAATTCCTCCACCTCTCTCTGCCTAACCAGGAAGTGAAGCGGGGTCCGTGGTACAAAATAGCACATGGTATAAAGAAAGAGTACAGAAAGGAATATATGCACAAATGCGTATATGTAAGGTGTCTGAAATAGGACTGAACAAGTAACTATTTATTGTACTTTTTAACATAAGTATGATTAGGTTTGAATGTTTAACTTTTATTTAACATCATCTTTGTAAGGGGTTTCCTAAGTTGAACATAAAGCAAACTATCTGAAAAGACCTAAAGTTCTTTTATGAAGATTCATATATAGGAGGACTGAAATATTTTTATTCACAGCAGAAAACTCTGCTACATAATCTATGGCATTGTAATAGAAGGATGCTTTTGTCTACAAATAGGACCAACCCGCAGAAGAGAATGAGAAATTAATTTTGCCAGCATATTTCACTGTTACTTGCTGGCACCAGAAGAATGTTAAGATTTGCTGAACATGGATCAGCTGAACAGTTTAATTCAAAGCTGAAGAGTTCAAATCAGTTCCTTATTGTGCTAGACAATATAGTAACAGAGAGTAAAAAATAGCCATTGTCTTAAAGAGTTTACATTCTCCACAGACAAGAAGGACAAAGAAAGCTTCTTGATATGCAGTGTATAAATAGGTATCCAGATCATAGAGGATTTCTGAGGACTTCTACATGTAAGATAGATACTGGCTTTCTTGCCTCTTTTCCCTGCCCAGTGGTATTTCTCCCATTTCTCTACAAACTGTGTTTCCTAAAGTTATTCTGAATTTCTGTTCTTCAGATTTGTCTATCTGGAGCTGCCAGCTGCAGCCAAGACACCTTGCACAAGGTTTCGCTGGTGGCAGCCCGTGTTTTCAGGGGAAGGGTATGATCAGTGGGCCATCGATGACATCATCATTTTGTCAGAGAAGCAGAAGCACATCATTCCTGTTGTTAATCCCACTTTACCACAGGTAATAAGCAAGAGTAGGCTGTGGGCATCCCCATGAAACAGGAACCATCCTCTCTGTTAGTAGACTGTTCTTTTAATGAAATTTTCTATGAAAATATAGGGTGTATTTAAAGAAACAGCTGTAGTGTTTGCAGCTGTGTCTCTCTGTGTGGGAATAACCTGGGTCTTATCACAAAACCATCAGGCTCCTAATCTTTGCGACAGAGGGTGTAATGTATCTCCTCAAAAAGTCAAGACAGAAATTTTGGAAATTACAGTTTTTTGAAAATACAAATTGCAAAATGTGAAAGTTGATAATTTTGGAAATTATTCTGAAGTCACACTGCAAGGTGGTAGTACTAGTTGTTGTTTTTCTTTTCATTTCTAACAGAACTTTTATGAAAAGCCAGCATTTGATTACCCTATGAACCAGCTGAGCATATGGTTAATGTTGGCCAACGAAGGGATGACCAAAAATGAAAGTTTCTGCTCTGCCACCCCCTCTGCCATGCTCTTTGGTAAATCAGATGGGGATCGGTTTGCAGTGACTCGAGATTTAACTCTGAAGCCTGGATACGTCCTGCAGTTCAAGGTATTCCTTAAACATAAATCCCTGCAGAATGTCAGTACAACTTCCCTTAGTTAATACTTGCAAGATGTCACTGGGGCCACAGTTCAAAACAAGGTGATATCGCTGCATAAAAAAATGTGAAGAGCACAAGTATGAATTCATACAGCATAAAATACCATGCTGCTTTCTAAAAGGATAGCCAAAACCTTGGTGCAGAAGAGCTTTTTTACCCCTCTGGAGAAATTTTAAAGCTTGTTGTTCCTCAGTGCTTTTCAGAAGAGTTGGAGTAACTGTTGTTATATTCGAGTTGGTACTAGGAAATGCTACTGCACTGTCAAGGGAAGAAGGATTTATCCCATCTGGGGCTCCATGACTACAAAAGCTCCAATGTGGTTTGTGTAAATTTTTTGTATTTTAAACTATTTAAGGACTTACAAGCTGCTCTGTACTCCAGTGTGGGGTTTTCATATAATTTACTTTTATTGTGTCAATGAATATAGGCTCCAATTAACATTCTCTTCTTTAAAGGGCTTACAAAAATTTCAGTGGTCTGACAATACATCAGAATATGGGCTCCAAAGAAAGTGTATTTGCTTTGACAAGCTCTTGTTTCTGAACCCTAATCAAAATTTTATTGAGTTTATAATGAAATCCCATTGGTGAATTCTGGAGGTTGGTTGCAATGCAATTTTAATGAGCTCACCACAAATACATGGTCCTTACATAATTGGTGGATACAGACACTGAATAATTTACAAGTGGAATTATTAAAGAGATCAGATGTTTACAGGCAGCTTTTCAAATATAATTCCCAGAGTTCTATAAATAGGAAAGTTAGTTAGAAATAATGGGATTTGTAAAATAATCTCATTTAATTTAAAAGTTATGCTAATGAAAAGCTATACAAACTGAGGGATTGCAGTACAATTTCTGAGTTAGTATTGCTTGTAGTTTTAGACTTTAAACTGTCTAAAAACCCCAAATATTTCAATATATAAATACCATTTAGCCTGAAAAAGATGTTGTTTGCCTCTTAACCACTTTCCCCTACTTCAGTGACTGTCTCCATTCTGTAGGTTTGATGATCAACAGCATATCAAAAATTGGTTAGTCTGAAAAAGCAATACTTAAAAATATTTCATACACCTTCCATCTCTGAAACACTTGGCAATGTAACAAAAATATACAAAACATAAACACCATGTATCAGAGAACAGTGAGTTCTTCTTTATAAAGTCTATTATTTAAGGCCTGAATTTATACTCGTCTCTTTTTTGGAAAACTTTTAAACTGTCCTGCACATAAATGTGTTAGTCCTATTTGCATGCTTTAATTTTAAACATATGGTTAAATGCTTTCCTGAGCTTGTGGAATTTCCATTTTAAATAGCTGCCTGGAATAATTTTACATTGATAAACTCAAAGACAGTAATTTGTCAAAATTATTTCTTTTTAAATGAATGATTTTGTTTTACATTTTATATTCTACAGCTCAAGTAGAATTTCTGCAGTAAGATACTGAAAACTAATATTTTTCTGATCGCTTGATAAATGAAACTGAAAACTTCAAATCAGCAGTTGATTTTTGCCTTGGTTACATTCTCATTTCACATTTTAATATGCATTTTCCTACTTTGTCCAATTTTGCTCTGTTCTGGGGGCCCAAACTGCAGCGCCAGCTCCCAGACAACGTTCCTGTGAGGTCAATGACTGGGCTGTGGCCAGGGCTCGCAGCCCAGGGCAGGGGACCTGGGAGTCAGGCTGGCCTTCTGTGCACATTGGAGTGGGCTGCAGATGGAGGGGGGGGACAGCTCCTCTCACTCCTTCGGGGCATGAAGGTGCCTGTGCACAGTTTGCTGTTTGTGGCCTGCTATGCACCAGGACCTTTGAAAAGTTCTTCACACAGTTTGGTGTGCTGAACCCTGCAACCTCAATGAAGGGATAGTGGGAATTTTTACTGAGAAATGTCATATATGTGCAGGAAACGGACTCCAAGCATCAGTCACTGTTTGCCAGCAGGGTTCAAAGCAAGACTTCAGAGAGCTAAGCCTCCCAAACCAAAAAATCAAAGGTGATTTGCAGCCAATAAATACCAATAACAACACTCTTATCTGTTGCTCTGCTTTTTTGCAGCTGAACATTGGTTGCACTAACCAGTACAGCAGCTCTGCTCCCGTTCTGCTTCAGTACTCGCACGATGCTGGGCTATTCTGGTCCCTCGTGAAGGAGGGTTGCTACCCTGCGTCTCCAGGCACAAAAGGCTGCGAGGGAAGCTCCCGGGAGCTGAGTGAGCCGACCGTGTATCACACAGGAGACTTTGAGGACTGGACAAGAATTACTATTGTTATCCCCAGGTCGCTTGCAGCCAGGTACTGTATATTGTAAACCAGTGATGCCAGTGGTATCCATGCATTAGCTGCCTCTTCTTTGATGATACACTCAGAAAAAGTTGCAAGCTGTGGATAAAAGCAGCATTAAAAATCAGCAAATCTGGGAAAAATATACTGTGCTCTCCAAAACAGGGAGAAGCTTTCCATTTTAAAGGTGTCAGAATGGTCTATAAAATTAAATTACAAAGCAACAAGGAACCCAGAACATTTTAATTTTACATCAATCTCTTCATCATGGTGCTGTCTTTATGCATATCAGTTAGGTCAGAGGCACCAGCAAGAGAGGGATAAGTCTCTTGAATCAAATAAGCCACTTGAACAGGATTAATTTTACAGTTACCAATGGACAAAGAAATCCTAGAAGGGTATTTGAGCTGCTGCGTAATGTGCTGTGTCATTGAAGGTGGCCGGGACAGCTGAAGTCAAAGGAGGGAGGAATGACAGGTGTGCTCCTCTGCGAGCACGACCTCAGCATCAGGTCAGTACAGATGAGAAAACATCAGATGATGGAAGACGCAAATAAGCCTTGAAATCATGAGGCTTTTCTCGATCTTATTTGGATTTGGCTGAAGTTTCTCGCTCCCCTTGCTCACTGTCTTACACAGTCAGTAAACCGCCCTGGTCTGATTTGCTGCCTGCACAAAGTGCTGCCAGCACAGCCCGCAGCCGCCCCCCCCCCGCGGCCCCGGCCGGGGCGCACCTGGC